GCTACCGTACTAAGTCCGCCATATGGGAGTTTCCGAAAACTGGGGGGTACCTTAGATTGAAGTCACGTCTTTATAACAAGGATCCTATTTAGGGTACTACATTCGGGTCCCCTATTTCGGAAACTCTCAGGATGGAGGTAGCGACGTGGCTCGCCAGAGCACTAGGAAACAGCCTGAATACAGTGCAACGGCCGTGTGAACGTTTCCCGAGGATGCTGATTCCCACGGGATGGACCAGCACGGATTCTGAGCTGCAAGAGTTATTGGAAAGATTCAGATGAGGTGCCGCTGAAGAAGCCAACGTTTGGACCTGCCCACATTGAAAGTCACGGCTGCTAGGAAGCGTTCCCGTTCACCATCTCGCCCTTCAGCTTCACCGACACTCAAGGTCATTGGATAAGGCCCGTGAGCCTAATATCCGCAAAGAAACACCTGCTGCTGCTGGTGCTGCTAAAGTGGCTGCTGCTGCTACTTGTCATCCGGGTGCCTGCGTCATTACTGCGGCGGCGGCGGCTGCTGCTGCTGGTACCGTTTCCTAGTGCGAGTACGAGTACCCCTATTAACAATTCCAACTATTATCGCAATTGCTAACTGCTATTGCTGTTGCTATTGCTATTGCAATGACGCATACATTTCCCATACCTCATACTTTTACTGCTACTACTACTACTACTGCTGCTATCCCTCGTACCCTGACTCTGACTTCTATTGTGTTCCAGCCACTACGACGACTACGACTACAAAAACGACTGCGGCGACGACTACTGCTACTACTACTACTACTACTACTACTACTGCTACTGCTACTGCTACTGCTACTACTACTACTACTACTACTACTACTACTACTACTACTACCACCGCTGCTCCTCCACAGCTACTGCTAATGCTACTGTTGCTCCTACTTACTGCTACTACTTACCGCTACTACGTACTGCTACTACTGCTGCTCCTGCTCCTCCTACTCTGCCTACTCCTCCTCTGCTGGCTACTCCTACTCCTACTGCGACGGTGAGTGCAGCGCAGCTTGTCATGATGGTGGTCCTGCCGTTGACGATGCTGTTGCATCCAGGGCTAGGACGTCGAGCTGCAGCATTGCGTTCGTTGTTCGCAATAATTTGATCAATCGGCTCTTCAATGAGAACATCTACCTGCAGGCAGTTCTAGTGAGTCTAGTTGAGAACAGCTCCAACATCGCGTCGTGAAGATGCTGGTTTCTGTTTTCCGGCCCGTCAAAATCGGCACAGGCGCAACAAGTTGGACTCCAACGAAGAGATCAAGGGCACGGAGGTGCACCCGTTTCGCGTGTCGATGTCGTTTGGCTTCCAAAGGCTGAGTTCGATCTGAGGTCCAGCCTGACGGCTGCTTGCAGCATTCGATTGTGCTTTGCTTCCAGGATGCGGCCCACACGGATAATGTTGCACTCCCCACCCCATCTACCACGACAAGCCATACCGTCAAGAACTCCCCTCTTATACCAAGCCTGGGTCCTCCATCCGAAACTCTCGCCAGACGGCGTCAAACCTGAAGCTGTGCTGGGGCATTTGGACGAACGGAGCGCCCAAGCAACCCGGCTGCAGCAACCGAGGACGGTGCTGGCGACTATGATTATCGGGCAGCAAAGGCACACTTGTAGCAAATCGGCAGAGTAGCAGTATCAACAAACCACGACAACTCATTGTGTTGTCTCCAGTCTTGCAGAGTTGCTGCTACTGTGCAGGCAAGCATAGTCGTTTCGAGCGAACCGACAAGTTCCATTGCCCTGACTGGTTCAGGGTTCCGTGCAGGCCCCTGGACCCTAAACCCTGAACCCTCAACCACTTCATGAGATCATTAGCTGTATGGACCAGCTCACAGCGTTGGGCAATCCATCTGAAGCCAAAAGTGCCAAGACTGAGCTACGCAAATTTCTACCCGCCCCTCCGCCAGCCCTTTCCGGAGTTATGCCAACCAGATGGGGCCTAAACTTCGGCCTAAACCCCAAAGCCTACACCCCGAAGCCAAAAACCCCAAACCCTTAAAGCAAAGGCCCTCAAAACCCTCAAATCTCAAAAACCATCAAAGCCAGGATCTAGGCCGAGCTACTGAAAATCAGAGGTTCTACCACGAGGCCGGCACCGTGAACTTCGAAGATCCTCCGCCGATGGCCGAGGCCACGGTGAGCCCGGGGCCCAGAGCGGAGAGGCCTTGGGAAGGACGGCGGTTTAGGGCTTTTGCAGATTAGGGTTGTAGAGTTAAGGCTTGTAGAGTTTAGGGTTATAGAGTTTCGGGTTGAGGGTCGTAGGGTTTTGACTTGAACATAGGGTTTTGGGGTTTTGGGTCCTACAGTGAACAGGTCACTCATAGCAGCGATAGCTGTGAACAGAATGTGTATTCTGCCATGGTCAGTAGTCCAACTTTAAAAAGAGGAAGTTTTTTAAATGCCAGGGAGTACTGAGTTGGAAGTTTAGGCCAGGTGGGGTGGCTGGGAAAAGGCAATCATAGGAAAACGCGCCTTGCAGGACTCTTCTATGGGGTTCGCGAAGTGTCGCATGCAGTACATCCACAATCGTAACATGCGACAGCTCTTGTGGAGGTTTCTGCAACTACAGATATCCCCAAAACCCTACTCTAATTATTAAGGTCCCTATATGTTAAGTTGGCCGCGGAGCTTCTCCCAGGTCTCTCCACCAAGATGCAGGAGGCAGTTGCTCCCATCATCATTGCCTTCAAAACGACGGTCGTGGACCCAGATGCAAATACAAGCGTACATGCGAACAAACACACACACACACACATGCATAAATAAATAGACGAAAACATGCAAAACAACAAAAAATAAGTAAATACATGAACAAGAAAGCTGTATTTGTATATGCACACACACACACACATATATATATATATATATATATATATATATAAATATGTATATGTTTATGTGTATATATATATATATATATCTATAGGTATATATTTATACACATATGAGTATCTACATAATACATCGTGTTACGGCCCGCCTGTTCTTGGAGACCTTGTGCTCACCAAGGCGGGCCGATCTGAGTATGCCTCGCCCACAGGGTCGGCGAACCCAGAACCCGGAGAGAGGGGATTAGGGTTCATGATTCAGGGTTTAGGGTTTATGATTTAGGGTTAGTGATTAGGGTTTATGATTCAGGGTTTAGGGTTTATGGTTTAGGAATTTAGGGTTTGATGGTTAAGGGTAAGGGATTTTCAGGGTTTGATGGGTTGAAATGAGCAGCTTTCGAAATGGCTGGAGAGCACGGTCAAAGTCTTTTCATTACGCGAGGCACGTGGTGCAGATGTAAAAATGCATGCATGCTCAGGTGCGCAGGTGCTGAGATAGAGGTGCAAAGATGTGCGATTTGTAAATGTCCGCACGCATCAAAACTGAATATTTAGGAGTAGTCTGGATTGCAGGGTTTACCAGCATGTAGATCTGTGCATTCGTTGACATGGAGAAAAAGGACGTGCAAACACACAATCGCTCAGTGCAGTAGATGCCTGGGTAGATGGTTCATAGGCAGAGAGATGAGAGCAGCTTGCTTCTTCAGATTCTGTTGGGGGTGAGCTCACTTCCCAGGACAGTCACGCCTTTGAAGGGCATCAGCCCAACGGATCCCGACAGAAGGCATAGCACACAGGACTTTTGCCTTCCCAGGCAAACCATGCTTATGCTTCGCTTCATGGACGTCAGCACCAAGCATCTTGCTTGCATTTGACAGTCAACCCGATCGCAGGGAGCTTTGGCCATTAAACTGTGGAGTAAGTATCTCATCGGTAGGTCAGGGCCAGTGTTCATACGTTTCATTGGGTTGCATGCTGCTAACGCTGGAGCGAATCGACTCCAAACCATGATCCGGCAAATGCTTCCCTTATCCTTGCTCTTGAGCTACTGCAAGCTCTTGCATCAATGTTGGGATATATGTCTGGACCCAATGTGAGATGCAGCATGAGGGAACTTGACATGAAAGCCGCTGCGAGCCAGGTTGGAGCCCTTCTTCTACTCAACCGAGCAGGGTATCCGCGGCGTCTATGCCATGCCGGATTACCAGGCCCGGACACGGGAGTTGAGATAGTTCCATGCGGCGCAATCAAGTGGAGACATGGCCCACAGAGGAAATAGAGCACTAACTTCAGCGGGTCCAAGTTGTAGCAGACGATTCATAGATTGGAGTGGTGGTTGTTGCATGGTGATTTTATGCTGTTTGTGACTTCATCTGCCAGGAAGTCACGAAGGATCAGCAGAAGCAGCACGTGCTGACCTCAGCTTATTGTTTCGACTGACTTATCCATGGCAGGTCCAGCATCTCCGTCATGAGCAGTGCAAGGCAGAAACAAGGCGAATAGGTCTCTTCATGTGTCTGTTGCGTTACGTTTGGCTTGTCAGTGGGTTACCCCGCAGCCTGCCTAGCCGCAGGCTTAGGCTGATGGTACCCTCGGAGAGCCGCCGGGGTGTCGTTTAGCCAGACGGCAAGACGCCTCCATACGGACATAGCTGGGGAAGTGAAGCTCAGGTCTGCGGCAAGATCTTTACCGAGTTCTGGTCCAGTCACTCCGAGGCTCTGCTCGCTGGCTCTGAGCCGGGCATCGGTGCATGCCCATGCGATGTATGCGACGACTGCCCTGTCAATGCACCGTCTGCGAAGGGCTTCCCTATGCCGGTTGGCTGCTACTACTCACAGAAGCTTTCGGACTTGCCCACGACTGGCGGCCGGGATCTCAAGCTTTCTCGAAGCTTGCATGACTTGCCCCTGCAATGAAGAAGTCGGCCCCAGAGGGATTCTCGTGGATTCTGAGCCACGAAGCCAAGGCTCTATCTTCTTCCGCGAGATCTACATCACCTTCGGGGTAACTCACTCAGACTCAGATCTCCCGGGCTATGTACATCTGGGAGTCTCAAAGCACAGCTGGGTCTACATCCCAGGCCCTAAGGCCCTACACCCTGAACTCCCCACTCAAAAACCCAAGTCCTGAAGCAGTTTAAGATGCACCCCATGCACCAGGAGAGGAATGGCTTGCGGGAGAACACCGAGTACCACATCGTGCTGAATGCGGCCGCTGAGCTGCAGTTCAGGGCTTGAGGGTTAAGGGCGTAGGAATCTTGAAGTTATATTTATGAGTATAGTTTGCTGACTCGTTTTTTTGGGTCTAGGCATGTCTAGGCTGCGACCTGGCAACCATGCTCTGAACCGGCATGAAAGGGGTCGGACAAATTTTGGTTTAGGGTTTAGGGTTTCGGGTTCATTAGTTATTCGGGTTTGAGGTTTAGGGTTTCGGGTATTCCCTCACCGCTCAGCGAGGCGTCCCAAATGCAACATATACTGGACACATGTAGAAACGGGGTGATTGTCCATCGAGGGCCTATGTTGAGGAAGCACCCAACACGCAAGTTTCAACCCGCTTGAATCCTCAAAACGGTTCAGGCTTGAGGATATAGGCTCTGTTTGTGAGGATGGTTACATCGGTACATGGGTTTGGGTCCATCGCAAGTCCTTCAGGAAATCCAGTTCTTCAATATGGGCGACCAGCTTGTGGATATCTACGCCATGTGTGCGGGCTTCACCGGCTGCTCGAGGCAGTCCGCTTCCCCCCCCTTGTGTTGAGAGCTGGTTCTGGTACTGCTCCCGGCTGCTCCTGCTCCTCCTCCCTTTTTTCTACTACGACTGCTACTATCACCACTACCACTGCTACTGCTACGACTACTGCATGCACTACCTGAACGGCAGAAGCACTAAACCACAATGCCAGCTGCGGGTGTTGACTAAACTGCCCAAAACCTTACAAACTCGAAGCCCTCGTGCGGTTTGTGAACTACAGGTGGAGCACCCCAATTTGTCGTGGTTGCTTCGGCTCCAAATTTGAAAGTCTACAGCCTCAAGCACTCGAGATTCGGGCTTCGACAGCAGCTACAGTAGATCTCAGTAGATGCCAGGCCCTACCAGGTCTTCGAGAAGGGCACAGCCACAGTCGCGTGCTCGGGGGTTTCCCTCATCGTGTCCAGCCGAAAAACTAGCTGCATATTTTGTTGCTGGGGCTTTCGGTTCCTGGACGGGTTTTTAGTCCACGCGCCTTGAAGGACACGGTACCACGCCCCAGTACTGTCGAACTACTGTAAACGAAATCGAATCTGAATCGCAGGCAGAAGGCAGTCAGGCCTCATCACTTCTGATGTGCCCGCAAATCCAATCGCCTGTTCTTCCCCGAATTGTCAAATCCCCGTCTTCGTACTGTCAGCAAAGTGCGAATCAGGCTTCAAAGCGGAAGCTGTAGTGCACCTGTGACTCGCTATATACGAAAGCATAACTGTTTTGCAACACGAGCTACTTAGCTGCACCGCGCAATGCTTTTCTGCCGAGGAGCTCGGTGTCTCTCAGCCAAGACGGCGAGCACCGAATATGCAAAACAATAATCATATACGATAAATGATACGTGGTATATGATGTCTGACATATGGTTTACAATATGAAATGTAAAATATGTAATTAGCATATATATATATATATATATATACATATATAAGCACATAGTACATAGTCAATAGTAGATAGTATATAGTTTACAATATCTAACATATGGTATAAAATCTGTCATAGAGACTATGTAACGTATGGACGTGGCACCGCCTTGCGCCCCGAGACCAAGGCGCCCGAGCCCCGAAGAACTCAACGCAGAGCCCCGAAGTCAAAAAAAGCCGAAGCTCCAGAACCCTAAAACCCCTAAACCCCAAAACCCCAAAACCCTAAACCCCAAAACCCCTAAACCCCAAAGCCCCTAAACCCCTAAACCCCTGAACCTCAAAGCCCCTAAACCCTAACCCCAAGACTCCTAGCCCTCAACCCCAAGCCCCAAAAGCCCCTGATGCCGTTAGCCCCCAAGCTCCAGGGCCTTAAATCCAAGTTTATAACACACGTTAAATATCATATATTTGTGCATAAACAATACCAACAAAAACTATATGCATACATATATATATATATATATATATATATATAGTCTTAGATCATGTATATATGTATGTATATATATATATATATATATATATATATATATATTCTATATGACCCTTCTGTTCGAGGCCTCACGTGCTACGGAGATCGGAGCTACGGCCGCAGAGCCGCAGTTTTCACTCACGGCCGGGGATCCCAAAGGGGTTTCGGGTTTAGCGCTTCGTGATTAGGTTTTCTGGGTTTGGAGTTTAGGGCATCTGGGCTTGGTCGCGAGTTGCAACTATTGGAACACAGGATCCTTTGGCCTACTCTTCGTCATGTGGTTGTAGGATTGGGGGTTTGGTGTTTGGCAACTTTTGAGATCCGAAGCTGTTTCCGATTGTGTACCTGTGGGAGTTTGCTTAGAAAATCGAACGTCGTAGATCAGACACAATACCGACTTGTTCTTAAACCCCATACGGCTTGTAGTGATTGCAGTGTGGTGCAACCCTCAAGAACTGTCATTGATGAGGCTCTTCTGTGTGAATATGCGAGTTGCAGTATCTCGGTTTCTACATTTGGCTAGATGGTTTAGCCGTGGCTTTACTCCTAGGGCCTCAGGCAAAGCGTTTCGGGGCTAGGGTTTGGGGTTTCAGGGAGCTTGTAGGCCTCGTGGGTCAGCGGTCGTGAGATTTTGGCGATGCTTGAAGAAAGGTTTCCAGGAAAGGTGGCGCAAGCGTTAATTGAGAATCTCACTACCAATCCTGTTCCAGCCTGGCGCCGTCGAAGGAAAGAAGTCAGTACAATGTGATGTGCCTGAAAGAGCTGACTCCATTGATTCCGCCCGACTGTGCAACACCTCGGTTTGCTTGCCTTCGTATTCCGTTGCAGGATCCTTCCTTAGTGCCTAAGTTAGGTGATCAGAGGGAACATGAGCAAGGTATTTCCAGAGGTGCCTACACCGTTTTTACCATGACTGCAGCACGCCGTTGTTGCTGTGACAGCAGGTCGTGAAGCTGCTTGTTGCAGTGCTTACTTCATTGCTAGCCGGAGTCTGATGGTCATGTGTGCCCTGCTGTGTTCAGGATGGCTTCTTGATTCAGCGCGGAGATCCTCTGGATGGGGCTCCTCCCTTGGACACTGCAGATGAGCGTGCTGTCGCACTGTCCCCTCTAAAAACCTCAGCCCAAGCCCTCAGCCCTAAATCGCAAAACCTAAGCGCCGCAAGAGGCCCAAACCCTACACTTACACCCTGACCCCAAGTGAGCCTCAGTCTTTCGAGTGTTGGCAAGTCCCCTAGGTGCTCAACCTGTCGAACCTGAACATTCTGCAGGACTGACGCTGGACTGTTTTCGCTCCCTCCCACATTGTGAGTCAGCAGTGCTCTTCAGTCACTTCCGTTGCACTCCCTGGGCAGATCCAGCTCAAGGGCCAGAGTGGAGTGCGCGCCATCGTCAAGGAGGCTTCTCACAACAATGCAGTTTGAGGTTCTTCGATGGTGGTATCTAAGGCTTTCAGAGGTCCAAAACATGTCGATGTTGCATGTAGCCCGTTTCGACGAGAACCCGAGCGAAGTGCACAACAACAGCACTGAGTTGATCCTGACGAATGTTGTCCGAGTTTCTGATAGTTTCTGTTGTCTTGCCAGTCCTTCATCCGGATGTACATGTGGCCGCTGACGGCTTGGGACGTTGGCTTCTGCCTCAGTCTTGTTGAAGAGAGTGGCACGAAGCAGCTGCCTTCGCAAAGGAAGAAGAGCAATACCAAGAAGACTCATAAGCCCGAAACCCTCAGCCCGAAACCCTATGCCCTAAACCCTAAGCCCTAAACCCTAAGCCCTAATCCCTAAGCCCTAAACCCCAATGAGAAGACGAAGATAAGATGCTAAAAGACCGGCCGGGATCCTCAGGCACTGCTTCCTGCGTGGCGGAGTGTGTCCCGTACTATGCCGCCCCACCGGAGTGCCAGTGGCCGAGCGTGTGGAGACTTGGGGGTTCAGGGTTAGGGGTTAGGGTTTAGGGGTTTAGGGGTTTGCAGTAGGGTTTAGTACAGGGTTGGATCTTTAATCAAGGTTTAGGGTTTTTGGGCTTAAGCGCGATGTGAGATGAATGCGAAAATTCTCTCTATTGTTTCAGAAGCAGGTGTCTTCTGATGATTGCTGATGCTCGTGAGTGTCCTTTACCAGTGCAACGGAAACTACTTGCAACGGCTGAGTACCAGTCTTGCTGCTGCCCTAAACCTCAATAAAGCTTAAAAACCTTTTGTACAAATTATGTCTCTCGTTTTCCCCGACAATCTCTAGCTTTGAATGTTGGAGCCGAGTCACGACCAGTACCAATGAGGTTTAGGCTCTCGGGTTTTGGGCTTAGGGTAGGTTCTGCTCACATTCGTCCAGTCATACTTTGACGAGAAGCTCTTCTCCAATGTCCTGGCATCACTGGCATGCAGGGATATGTCTAAGTTCAGACTTGCCGTCGGCAGATGCATCGACCTGACGCAGGCTCAAAGCATCAACTACCGGTCTAGCGATATGGAGTTCGATCATGCCCACTATCGAGCCTCAAAGCTCAGAGCGGTATCCTGCGGACGCGCAGGATCGCACGTCACAGACAGAGTCTGGAAGCGACCAGGAAGCCGAAGAGCCACCGCGCCCGGACATAAGCGCCTGTCTCCCAGGCTTCTCTTATGAGGATGCCTTCATGTGCAGAGAACGCGCCTTTGCGCTGCATGGGCAGGAGCAGCTTCGCGTCCTGCAAAGGTTCATGGAGCTTGATGGTACGGCTGGCACAGTCTGGCCGGTCACTGAAGTGTTCATGCGAGAGTATCAGTCTCTCGCTGACAGAGCTCTTTGGAATGCTTCCGGCAAAAGCGTGTTGGAGCTGGGAAGTGGTACTGGCGTGCTGGCCATGTTTTTGGCTGCACGTCATGCCACAGGGGTCGTAGCCACCGATGTCGGCGATGGGCTCGACCTTCTACGAACTAACTTCATGCTTCGTGAGAACTTGGCGGCTTTGGGCGAGAGTCATGATGTCTTGCACAGCGCGCGGCTACGGTGGGACGAGCATGCACTGGAAGACCTCGCCATGATTCGTGAGGTCTGCGTCACGGCCCGTCTGGAATTAGACACCTTGGTGGTTTTTGATGCTCTTTACAACCAAGATGCTTTGGAGCCCTTGTCCGAGGTGATCAAAAAAGTGTGCGGCCACTTTGAGACGCTGCGCTCACTTCTTGTGGGGTACCAGGATCGGCAGCCCGAGGTGGAAGCTCGTGGGCTGCAGATGCTACGGGAGAGTTTTGCTGGGAGCTCTGAGCTTCGCGAGAGGCGCCTCTTCGACATTGCACCTGTGCATGCTGTCATCCTGGAGAAGATCTAGTCCCCAGTCTACCTGTTCCAGCTTGGGTCTGCTCTTTCCCAGGCTCCCGCGCAGAGGACCCTTCGGCCAAGATCGGATGCCATGTTGCGGGTTGCAGATGGCTGGGCCTGTCTTGTCACTTCTTCCGGAACCGTGGCCAGATACCCAGAACAAGGACGCCCACACGCAGCTGCAAAGCTGATATGCCCGGAACCTGTTCGAGATCTTTCGGAGGCGAGACCGTACGATGACACCCAGAATGCAGACAGTCTCCAGCTGCGAGTGGCCTTGCTCTTCTCGCTTGTGAAAGGTCTGTCCCAAGGTTTTATAGGTATGATGCCCAGCAAGATTCAAGCACACATGCTGCACAAAGAGTTAAAGATACATCGTTCGATGAAGTGTGAATGTGCACATTTTAGTTGGCTCATTCATGTGCATATTATACGTTTGTATCTATCTATCTATCTGTATGTATGTATATGTCTATGAATCTTGATCCAATCCCAGGTGCGGCATGTCCAATTTGCCCGTTTCCAGGCGAACGAAAGCTCCAACCCTTCCGGAAATTCCTAAACCCACAAACCGCTACGTGGAGGTTCATGGGTAGTTGTAGTAGGGTAACTGTACTTATAACCCATATTAGGGGACTTATAACCCCTACTTATTATAACTACCCGTGAACCTCCAAGTAGATGGCCACATTCAAAAGGCAATGGTCTTGTCGGCTGCGACTCCGAAGAGGTCGTTGTTGGCAGCGGCCGCAGGCGGATGCAGTGCAGTGCAGCTAGTTTTAAGCTTCGGGTAGAGGGCCGTAGTGTTTCAAGGGGTCTAGCTGGTTGAGAGCCCACGATTTTTGAGACTGCACCACTGTGCTTGTGGGATATGCCAGGGTGTTCCAAGCATCTCGAAGCCAGGCCCAAATTGCTAGAACTGCCCGAATGTCCGGTGTCAGGAACATCGTGAAGATTACCCTTCCCACGGAGATGAGCAGCATCGACGAGACGACCACGCACACCATCAAGGCGGGTCGGTTTCTTCGGTGTGGCATTTGCCGGCAACTTCTAGCACTGAGCTGCCAATCGAATTCTTTTTATGCCTAACGATCAGACCTTCTGTGGAAAGAGAGGAAGAGAGAAAACCATATCCGTGATAAAAGCGCACATGTGAACTGGTATGAGAGTCAGTACACCAGGGCTACACGGGTACCCTAAACATCCCTAAACCCTAAAACCCTAAACCCTAAACCCTAAAACCCTAAACCCTAAGACCCTAAACCCTAAACCCCAAAACCCAAAACCGTCATTGTGCCTGGCAGATCAGCGGCTTGACTCTCCCCATGCAGGGCTTCTTTGCCACGCGTGCTGGAAGCTGAGAATCTCGAGAAACCGGTTCCTTATTGTAACAGGAGTATAATATATATATATATATATATATATATGTATATATATATATATATACATATATATATATATATATATATATATGTATATATATATATATAGGTATACCCCAAAACCCTACTCTAAGTATTCAAGGCCCCTATATTGCCCTATATGATAATACTGTTATGGATCCCTTATAGACCCCTTTAACGGAAGCCTATTCTACTTGTTAAGGTCCCTATGTTAAAATACCCTTATAGATCCCTTATAGACCGCTGCAGAGGAAGCCTATTCTAATTATTATGGCCCCGATATTAAATCATTGTTTGGAGCCTAGAAGGGCTTGAAGTTTATTGCAGCAGCTCAGAGCAGAAGCGCAGGCCAGGTGTAGGAACTGTCTGGAGTCCAGGTTGGGTCCCTTTTTCTGTGGGTAAGGCTTTGAAGATGTTCTGCTCATGTTGGAATATAAGAAAAATTTTCGAAAATTTTCGACTAATAGATAAAGATGAAAAATGGCGGTAATACTAGGTTACTACAGCCTAAAACTAAACACACAAATACTAACAACACAAAAGTGATAATAAAGTTTCGTCTGCCAACTCACGAGAGTCCGCACTTGCAGATTGGCGTTCAGCTGACCCGTCCCGACGACACCGCGCCGCACTACGTCCAGTCGTCAGGACGGTACAATCTTGCTTCGTAGGGTTAACGGTCTGCCGAGCAGAGAGTTGGAGCGCCTACTGCGGTCCAGGTGCAGATTCAAGGATCCGTAGGTTTCCGAGACGGAGTGTGTCGCTGTTTTGCCAGGACTCATCATGAAGGTCCCCGAGCCTGGGGCCACCACAGGCCCGATGGAGTTCTGGAGTGCTAGATCGCATCGTCGGTGCTACGTGGCCGCTTGAAGTAGAGCTTTGAGGCCGCATCGTCATCAGCGACCGTTCCGGCTATGGACCCTTGCCGTTTAAGGCAGGTGGACGCGTGACACAGGGACTCGCCTGGTCCTTGTATCGAGTCAGTGATAGCTTCAAAGAGTTTTGAGTTTTCAGAGCGCATTGATAAAAGCGAGCTTACTACCAAGGGTTGACTGTCAAGCCGCTCCCTTCACACGTGTCGTTGCAGACAAGCACTTGGCATGCATGACATGGCCTCATGACAAGAGTCGCGGGTGGCAGGGCGACGCCAGCAACGTGCTGTACTTCCGCATTCAGCTCGGGGCGACGGTGCGGCTCGCGGACTGTTCACTTGCAGAGCCGGCCTCGAACCGTTTGACTCGTCCTCTTCCGCTGAAGTGTCTCTGGCCTGCCAGCTTTGGAACGTCGGCCGCAACAATGCCGCTTCACTGACCATCAACCTGTCCCGAGCCCAGATGCATGGACTGGCCAAAAGACTGAGGGTCGAGATGTGTCAATTAGGTGGTTGTCAAACTTATGGTCCCTTTTTGGGTTCCTATTATAATACGGCACCTATTATTAAGGGTACCCACAAAGGGACCTTAATTTTGACAACCACCCAATTGGAAAGCTTGCCGTAATCGTCGCAGAAGTCTGAAGGCCGGCGGTTGGTCTCTTGACGACAGGGGAGTTTCCGAAAATTAGGGGATACCT